GGATGAAGCACGACGACAGGACCGATGTTCGCAACTTTGGAGAAATATTGCTGGATCAAAGGCAGACTAGTGAAGTCTGAGACTCAAGTGGAAGTTCAAGAAGATCAGGTAAAAGAACTCTGCTTTTTGTTATATTTTCTTCATTAACAGAAATCGGTATTTGGTGTATTTATAGAACAGAAAATGTTCCTGCCCTGCATTATGAATTAGGGGGTTTGGGAAAGTTATACCACACCTAATAAATTTACAAACATTCATTAACAGCGTGCAGCTACAAATGGCCCTTACAGCTGATGAAGCAGCTCGAGGAAGCATGGTTGATCCACTAGTTAGGCAGACATGCTTGGATCAGTCCTTGAAGATGCTGATGGAAATTTGTGTGAGATGTCTGTGTAAGGATCCAGCAGATAGACCTTCTATTGAGGATGTTCTTTGGAACTTGCAGTATGCTGAACAAGTTTAGGATGCATGGCTGGGAGGAGAATCCCAGAGCAGTGAGGACTCTCCGGTTTCAACTTCAATTCCGTCACGCCTCACCTATTAGCGGTGAGTTGCTGGTTATTTAGCCATATATATATATATATATATATATTTTCCGACTGCAGACAGACGTCAGCTATGGATTAATGCAGAGCGAATGGCAGTAGTAAAATAAAAGAAGATTCTGTCAACAGGAGTCTTTTTGTCATGCTAGCTGCTCCATCTCCATCCCAATCTTGTTGCCTAAAAGCTTTCCATTTCCTTTGTGATCCTTGAGAATCCACGCCATAGCTAGCTACACAAAGACAATTGATGGTTGTAGAGCACATCCTTCGCATTGCTCATATTAAGGGAGTGTAAACAATGACTTTACTGAACCATCAATTGAGATTTATTGGTTTCCAAATCCAACAGAAAAGGAGTGTAAAGAATCACTTCAATTTTGATATTGCCACATTATTCTTAATTAATTAATTAATGTTTACATATGAGTTGAAATCTATGTAGATCAGCAGATAGCTAGAACTTTCTATTGTTGAAAATGACTCCCAGATGTTTTCTGTAATACATGGCAGCATGGTTTGTATTGCCAATAAGCAGGCTTATTTTGCCTCCTCCTTTCCGACCTCACTTCCCCAGAACAATCCTAGATTCAAGTTACTCTACTGCACTCCAAGTGAAGTTATCCCGTATTCCCGATTTTCCTGATTCGTATGTCATTAGTGCAATTGTTCAATACAGAAATCAAGTATTTCAAGTTTTAATTAAGGTAACGAATTCTACGAGATATACAAATCGATTTACAAGCACGTATACTACTAGGGGAAGGTAATTAATGGGTTGCAAGATTGCATATATATATATATATATATATGTAGCAGGATTGCATATATATGGTAGGCATGTAAATGTGAGTGAGTTTTTTTTAGGCTTATTTATTGTAGTACCCCCTGAAACTTTGGTCAAATCTCACTTTACCCTCCGAAAGTTAAAATCGCCCACTTAACCCCCTTGACCAAGGTTTGGTGTTCCAATTTGCCCTCTACCGTTATCTCCATTAATAACTCTGTCAATTTTGATGACATGACATGAGTCTTTTTACCATTAGTGATGATGTGTGAGATGTAGGCCCCACTTTTTCTACTTAAGTAGACTAAAATATTAATAATTAAAATTAAAATTAAAAAATTAAAAAATGTAATTACTTGTTAATATTTAAAAATATAAAAAATGGAAAAAAATTAATATTAAAAAAATCTATTCTTCTCCATCTCTCTCCCTTAGTCGTCCCCTCCCCTTCCCCTAACTTCACATCATCAGACCACAACCACCACCCAACCCAGCAACAAACCCTTACCACCCTCCCACCACACAACTTCTCAAGACACCCCCACCTCTCTCTGTTCCTCTCTTCTCCCAAGCCCAGCCCCAACATCCACAGTCACCCACCCCACCCCACCCCACCACGACCTCCCTCTTCCCTTACAAGTATGCCAGCATACTAGAGAAGCAATGCTCAGCACAAAACAACAGTCCATATGTAAAGCCTACACCAACTCCTTTTGCAAATCCACCTTTTTACCCGGTTTGAGGCCTTATTAAGTGAATCTGAGCATGCTTCAATGGCTTTGTCCTCTACCCCAAATGAGCACACAATACGAATCTGCGAAATAGCTTGGTCCATGCAAATGTGAGAGAAAAATAAAAGGATGCATTGGTGGCCAGATTCATAAAAGGATGCATTGGTAAAAAGACTAAAACAGTTATGCCACATCATCAAAATTGACGAAGTTATTAATGGAGATAACAGTAGGGGCCAAACTGGAACACCAAACCTTGGTCAATGGGGTTAAGCGGGCCATTTTAACTTTCAAGAGATAAAGTGAGATTTGATCAAACTTTCAAGGGGTACTACAGTAAATAAGCATTTTTTAGATAAAGAATGTGTAAATTGTTACCATCTTTTCCAACAAAAGTAAAAAAAAAAACAAAAAGTGAGTTGTAACAATATACTTCTGCTTTGTCTTAATTTCAGTGTTAATAAAGGTGAAGAGGTATGCATGACATGACATGTAACACACCCACCCACACCAATGCACTTTGAGGTTTTATGCATCCCACACGCCACGGGCAGTACAAATCTTGTGCCTTTCCCTCCATCATCACAACCTTCTACAACTTCCATACATACGACTATTATTATTATTATTTTACAACTTGGACTTAAAACTAACACCATTATTTATTAATATATAATATAATTAGCTAATTAATTAAGCCAGTAGGCCCTGCCCTTTGCTTTTGCACGTGCCCCTCACACACTCCATGCAGTAGACTCATTTCACTCACTCACTCACTCAATATTTCCCCAACTTCACCAACCATAACGTCTCTCTCTCTCTCTCTCTCTCTCTAAAACAAAGAAACAAAGAAAGAAAGAAAGAGAGGCTTAACACATTGAGCTTGCCAACTATTTCACGAGACTAACGTGCACTACTGCTAAAATTAATAAAGTCTCTAATATTAATCAAAACCCTTTACCTTCCTATAGCTATAGCTATATAGCTAGCTAGCCAGCCAACTTGTTAAATTAATCCTTACATTTCCATTCGCTCTTTATGGCTGATCAGCCAGTACAAGGAGATCATTACACGTCCGAAAGCAGAAGAAAGGGCACATCTGGGGGCGCTGGAAGGCCTACTTCTAACACGGAGGCGGCGGCAACGACAACCAATACTAGTACAAACAGTACAGTAGTAGTAGGTGGTGCAGCTCCATGTGGAGCCTGCAAGTTTCTGAGGAGGAAGTGCATTAGTGGGTGCATATTTGCACCCCATTTTGGTTCAGACCAAGGAGCTGCACGCTTTGCAGCGGTGCACAAGGTGTTTGGGGCAAGTAATGTGTCAAAGCTTTTGTTGCACATTCCCTTGAACCGCCGCCAAGATGCCGTCGTCACCATTTCTTATGAGGCTCAAGCTAGGCTCGCTGATCCCGTCTATGGTTGTGTCTCAACCATTCTTGCTTTGCAACAACAGGTTTCATCATATATATATTAACCATATTACTAATTAATTACTTAATTAATCATCAAAACACACACACACACACACACATTTACATACCTATATATGTTCTCTCTCTCCGATCTATTATTGCCTTCATGGAAATTATTGGTCAATTAATGTCATGAGATAAGAGATGATGTTGCAAGCACAATCCAGGCTTGATAAATTTACTTCTTTTTCTTACAAAACTTTCCATAGGGGGTTTTGACAATATTTCAACATTGATAGCCACCAAACATTATCAATTGCTCCCTCTACTAGCAGTTTCTATAGGGTCCTGAGTTCAAATTTCGCGGACTACGAATGTTCAATAAAACAAAAAAACTTCAAAAAATAATAAATAAAAATGGAAAACTGCAAGCTCTCTCACCTTTTGTTCATAAGATGGCATCATTGTTCACATATATAATTGAAGCTCCATGACCAATATTAAAGGACAGTTACAATATCTATTAATTAATTAGTTTACTGTCGTGGCATTAATGTCCAGGTTGCATCTTTGCAAGCCGAGCTTGCAATGGTGCAAACTCAGCTGATAAACAGTAGATTTGCATTTGCAAATGCCCTTCAGATCAGCTCCCAGCAGCGGCAGCAGCAGCAGCAACAGCAACAACATGAGCAGCAGCAGAACATGGCTTTGATGTTGCAGCCTGCCTACTCCAACAACTCCTCTGCTTCCACTAATCTCATCAACATGTGCAGCTTCACCTCTAATTTTGACCTTGCAGCCAAGACTGCGCCATCTTCACAAAGCTTGGACCCTCTTCAGCTTTCAAGGCCATCCCAAGACGATGAAGATGACGAGGAAGAGAGTCAAGTTCCCCTCATGTTCGCCCATGATCGATACACTTGAATAATAAGATAATAACTCAATGCATCTCGTGTTTCTTTCCTTAATATTTCTCTCTTTACAATTGCTTGTATGTAGCTTCTCTATCCATGATCATTATCATAAAACTATACTTCTTTTCTTCTCCCCAATCTATAATATATGTTTACATTACCTCCTATCCTAACTTGTCGTCCTTCTGCTAGGGCAAATATATAGTCAAATGATTGTAGGTCAATCATACATGCAGAGAGATTAACGTGGCTAAATATATTGTTCCTAACTTTCTTATTTGCATTACTGAGGTGAGTTTTACCTCAAAAACAGTCACTGGAACTCATTAACCAAAATATCACGTCTTACTTAGGAGTTGGGGTAGCTGCAATCGTTGGGATAGCATTCCTCCAGGTTTGGGCCACTTCGCTTTCAGTTCCTGAATGGGCCTGCTAGGCCCAGAACTTGCCTTCGGCGCCACCAACCTTTTTTCTTTTTTCTTTTTTCTTCTTAAGAGATGAAGGATGACAAAGTTATTCTTGCACAAAAGTTAATATAAGGGATTATTGAGCAAATAAATTGGATTCAACAATCAAAACATCCATTATGAATTTAGTATCCAAACAATTTACATCAACAGCAGCATTAGACAAAGCTAACCGAAACTTGAAGCAACACGGAATTGGCCCTAAGCTGAAGAGAGAATTTAGAAACACCAAAACCAGCCCTGGTCTGCACAGAAACTTTAAGCTATAGTAGATGAGATGCATGATCACTCTCGTTCGGTGTAGGTGTGAGTAAAAAACCGGTTTCTAAACTCTAAACACTGAATCCTAGCTAGAGCTGGTACAAAGCTTTGATAGAAGGAATGTGATATTGCACAAAGTTGAACCACCAAAAGACTCGATACCATAGAGCTATTGTGTTGAGTTGCGGCTCCTATTAACCTTGGCCAATTGACCTTAACGTAGGAAAAATAATAAGACAGGAAGAGGAAAAAACAAGAGGAATCATTTATAAAAGCAGAAAAAGAAACACATGAACACTGGCCCACCGTTAACTTTGCAAAATTTGCATCTGCATCCGATTCCGAATAGCAAATTGCAAGTTAAACCGATTACAGATTTCAGTAAAAGTATTAGGTATAAGTTAACAAACTTATGGTGCTATTTTCTTCTCCTTGTTCTCTTTCCCCTTTTCATTTTTACCACTTATTGCACAATCCTGAATGTGCCCTCAACTGCTCCTTTCCCTCCTACATATCCTACAAAGACAGAATTCAAGCTACAGGACTACTTAGTCTAGAGGCAAAAAACTACAATTAAGTCTGCTCTGAGGGCAAAATTCCAAGACAACAAGAGCTCCCACAAAAGCACTGCAACCCCTTAGACCTTTCCCTAATTTCACCATAGCTAAAAGTAAGCTCTTCATCTTCTTTTATGTCTTTTGAAGCAAAAAAGCAAAGGCGTGGGAGTAAAGCACCTGAGCTTCTCACCAGTGCTGTGGATAGATTACCACCATCACACGAATGGTTGATGAACCTTGATACATTTCCAACTCTTGTCGCATCAATATTGTATCTTAGACATGCCTTTCTGGATGGCATATGCTCCCTCACTACCAAAAGAGCAGGGGAAAAATGACCACCTGATGCAAGCTCATCATATATCTGCTGCCGCAATCTTGCTTCTTTGGTTGTCAAGAGTTCACCTTTCTCACCCAAAAAAAAAAGAACAATTAATAAGTAAAAAATGTTAAAACATATAATCCAACTTGCAGGATGTATACATACACGTGTGTGCCTGTGCAGAGAGAGAGAGACAGAATGAGATCAAATTCCCATGCATGCATACAGAATACAGATAAACATACATGCAATCATTTGTAGGGAACATGTTATCTAAGCCTCAGAGAACAGGCTTCAGAACGCCACAAGCATCATTATCCATTTTTATGGGATTAGATTTTTCACTTCTAATTTAGGATTTTTCGCATCAAATAAAATTTCGGGGGAGAATCTTGAGCAGCAGCATCTGAAAGCCATTAGTGAATTTTAAACATTTACAACAGTATGGTCAGACGTATTAGCAGTCTACAGTTCCCTGCACCTCAGTTGATGCAGGGATAAAGAAAGAAAAAAGGACGGCTCCTTAATTCTCCCTTAAACTTCTTCTCTTCTTTCCTTTCCATCGTCCCCAAACATTTCCCTATTCCGCTCCTTAATCTGTTATTCAAACTTCAATTTCCTCCAGTCCTGCCTTCCCACCATTCTTTCAAGATCTTGCCAAACGTATGATGATCCAACAATCATGATTTCTACGTGTTTGGTTCACAGACTACACCCTTTCTGTGTTCCAGATGCCCAAGCAGGTGGGTGCCAGAATACATGATAATTACTCAACAGAAAAGCTGAGTATAGTATTTCCTTTCAGTAATTGCTGCACCAACATTTGTTGATAGGAATATTTCATATCTGAACAATACTTTATCAATCCAACAGGATAACAAGAAAAAAGAGTGATCCTAATCCAATTGGAAGGCTTGTTGTCTAGAAAAATAACAGAACCTTAACCTCTACTAATGACAACAAATTCAAAGCCAGAGAGCAGTCAGCCATCTATATCAGCAGACTCATAAACTTGAAAACAATTTTAAGATTCGCTTCAGAACAATTACTCACACGAGCCATCTATATCAACAATTAGTCTTGGTTTTGAGTTACTTGATGTGTATGACTTTGTGCACACCTATTTATGAAAGAAAATATCAAACGAGTGCCAAATTCAATCACATTGTTCAAAATCTGTCTACACTTCTATTCTATGTCAGCAAAGTCAAGACAACATTTTTCTCATCTCCAGTCACAACCAATTTCAAATTAACACAAAACAACCAATCATACACCGTCAGGATACATACTAGAAACAATTACATTTTACAAGCGCTAAAGTGCTATAACTAACAGTACCAAACAGATAACACAACATGTCATATACATTATTCAAAACAAAATCCAATTCCTAAATGTAGGTTGTTATTGGAATACCTGCATACTCACAAACAAACCGACCCTTTGGAATGAACTGGTCGGCACACAAACTCCACCCTTTTCGCCCATCCCTCAGAATCTTCAACTTAATCTCAATCCCTCTCTGAGTCAACCTGTTGCCACAATCCAACCCACACTCACAACTCGGCCCACACTCCGCAACGACGTCGTTAAAGCCACCAAAACACGGACACCCATCAGCCCCATCTCCCTCTTCCCCACATGCCTCGCATTCACACCCATACTCACACTCTCCCGAATCGTCCACGAAACGCAGCGTTTGAACTCCAAGTCCAGTCACCGAGTTCGATTTGTGTGCAGAAAAACTGGAGCCCCAGGATTGGCGCCCTAAAAATTGAGAAGAGGAAGAAGGAATTTGAGATGGGGTGTAGATGAAGTAGGCATACGGGTGTTCATCGACGGAGTTGTGGAATGGAATGGGATGACTCTCGAAGGCTCTGGATGCGTCGGAGGCTCGGCGGAGAGTGATGGACTTAGAAATTGTGTGGAGGGTGGAGCAGGTGAGAGAGATGGTGGCGAGTTCTTGTGGGGTCAGCCATGAAAGGACGAGCTCTGCGCATTGGAGGAGGAGGGAAGGAGAGTGGTTGCGTTTGGATGGTGGTGACTGGGTTTGCTGCATCCTTCGAAGAAAAAGATTTTTGATAAGAATATGAAGACTACGCTGCTATTGCTATCAATATAGCGGGACGATCTCAAGCGATATGATGGCCCTGTTTGATCGGCTGAACTGGATTGGATATTTCCAATTAAAATGAACGTGAATTCTATCCATTGTTTGGTGGGCTTTAATAAGTTTCACACTGGATATGGGCCTCCCAAATAACTATGGTTATGAAACCCAACCCATAGGTGGGTTTACAATGAAACCTCTGTCGTCATCTTCCGCTCCTTCTTATCTATTCTCCTCTTTTATATGGGTATATTGTCTCTTCTCTCTCTCTCCCGTATCCTCTACCCAGTCTCGCTCTTATCTCTTTCACGACATCATTGAACTTCGCTGGTTCTTCAGTTCGTGAAATGGGTGAAATCGGTTTGGGTTGGTGGGTCCAATGGCTGTGCAGAGATAGAACGGAGCAAGGGTAGTTGGTAATTACTAGCTGAAGAAGAAAGTGGGTCCACTGCCACTCTTTTTTGTAGATTTGGAGTTGGGCAAGGAGAGGTTAGAATTTGGAAATGAGGAAGAAGAAGAAGAAGAAGAAGAGGGGATTCGGGGATAGGGATTTTTGTAGAGAGAGAGAGAGAGAGAGAGAGAGAGAGAGAGAGAGATGGCTCAAGAGCTCGTTTGCTGAAGAGGAATGAGGACGAGGAAGGTGTAACGCTCCCATTTCGTAGCTTTATCGGATCAGATTCAGTTTTTGTTTTCTTATTGTATTTTCACATTTCCTTGTGTTTTCTCAGCAACCAAAACGGTTTGCATTTCTCTTCCCTGTGTGAAGATTCTCTCGTTTTTCGTCACGCGATTTGTTTGACCGATCGAGGGAGGGTTTCAGACACCGATTTGGGGCTTGAGATTTTGCATATGATTATTGTTAATAAAAAAAATATAAGAAAAATTCTGATTTATTAAAAAAAAGAAGTTAATTTCAGTCTGTTAAAATGAATAGGATTGGACCCAAAACCTAACCAGTCCAAGCCAGCCCAATCCAATACTTTGAAGCCTATCTTAACCGGTTCAAGCCAGCTCATCAAAGGAGACGTATTTAAGATAAGAATTCGTTACATATTTCTCAATCTCTTTTTGGGGTGATTCTTCAGTGCATGCGTATATTAAGTACATGCAAAAAATTCAAATTTTGAGAATATAATTAAAATAGAAATGCAACCTGTGAAAGGGGGTAACCGGTTACTAAAAGTTAGAGAAAAAGAAAAGAAAAAAGAAAAGACGGGTCAAAAGAAGGCATTCTTGGGTGAGAGTTGGCATTTTCCGAAAACCAAATTAGTGGGGGTTATGCTTCTTCTTCTTAGGAAATTGTAAATCCCAAATTGACAAGGTGTGTAATGAAAAATTCAGCTGATCCTCTGCATCAAATACACGGCTACCGTGAAGGTGGACAACCGGAGTAATGAAGATCCCAGGTGATCTCGTGAGTGTGGGTCGGTGTTCATCAAAATCTTCAATTGAGGTAGGATGAAATTGAATTTATTTGATAGTAATGTTGGTTGTAACTAAAATGTTATGTAGTTTAGTGATTGTGATGTTTAAGTTTGAGTAAATGGAAAAGATTTTCGTTAGTATGCATGTTGATATTATGTGCTGTGAATGAAGTGGTTGTTAGATTTTGATGAGCGACGGTGAGATTACAGTTTGTGGTGGTAATATGCAGTTGCAACACAGTTTCCATCACCCACTTATCAATTGAATGATAATTGTTTATGGCCTTGTGCTGTTTGTGTAAAGATTCTGAACCATGTCCCAACAAATCCTGTTGGAATTTTAAAATGTTTTACAAATTTAACCGTTTTGGTTTATTTAATTATTTTGGTTGTTTTATTTTATTTATTGTGCGGGTTATACATATTAATTTTCAGGTTTTATTTCTATATTGAATGCCTTAATTTTCTAGTTTAATGTGGTGAAGGTTATATGTTATTGGATGCCTATAAATGCCACTCCTCCTTCACATTTGAACAACCACAATACACCATCAGAATATTACATACCACAATCTGATTCTCTCCTTTTATACCTTTTATATTTTCTCTACTTATATTATTATTTTTGGCAACGGTTTTGTGACTTAGATACCTATATCCGTCTATGAACGTGCTCATTGAGGATCTTGAGTTTGTGTACAAGGGGTCGTATCTTAAAGTTTTGTAGACCGCCAGTACCTGCACGTAGGGAGGTTACAAAGACTTTAGGACTGCGTCTTTGACGTGCTTCACCGTACCAAACTCCTTATTATTTATTTTAGTTTTACTTACCTATCAATTTGTTTTTCTTCAATTTCATTGTATCTTAAAAGCTTTCTAATTTGTTTATATGTTATTTATAATATAAAGTTTTTGTATTTGGCTTTACGGAAAAGGAAAATTATAATTTTTATAACAATCTAAAGCCTTTGTATATTAAAACTACTTGATTGATAAGATTACCATTTGCCACTTGGTTCAAACTGTAGTAAACAAAGTATTATCTTACATATATTTCGAATAAATCATATTTGTTAGGTTGCGTCTTGATCATGGCATAAGTTTGATTATATATGTGAAACCATATGTCTATTAAACCTTTGCAAGTAAAGTTGTTTTCTTCCTGTACTGCTATTGCTTTAATACCTTTTAATTCTTTAACCGAAGCTTTTGCATTTATATTAGATTTTCAAAATGAAAATTACGATTTGTTTTGGGTAGATGTAGTTTAAAGTTTTCACGTTGCCTATACAATTTCAGTTGCTTTAAATATTGTTGGTACATTTGTTACATATTTGAATTTGTGGTTTACAGTAGTTTACGTTTTCTTTACACACTTGTATATCTGTAACTGAGAGTTTACTTCGATGAAATTTAAAATTTTATTATTATATTTCTTTTGTTTTCGAAACAAATTTTAAAGGTAAATAAATAAATAAAACTTTAATTAATTTGCGTTGAATCTTTACACTAGCTATTCATTTGGAATAACTAATTGTTTTTTTACTTCGAAGCATAGACTACAGCTTATTTTATCAATATGTTAATGGCTGACTTTATTTCAATAGCATTAATATATTAATGTTCTAATCATATTATAATTGATTTTGGATATCAATTAACTTTGGTTTTGGAAAATGGATCAAATTATGTTATGTGTGGAGTCTTTCGAGTATTTTATATAAACATACATATATATTGCACTAACGATTGTGTTCAAGGTTTACCTTAGTTATGTGAATAGAGATTTGCGTGATTTTGAAGTGGGAGTTATGATGGAATCAATATATCAGGGGTCCAATATCATATACCGCAAGATAAGTGCTACAAATTAATACTTTATCTTATGCAAGTGTGAGCATTGCCATAAATGTATGTGATTCCAAGAAATTAACTTAGTTTTAATTTTGTGAAATAAGACAATACAGAAACTTATCATTTTCCACTTGTTTAGTTTTGTCAAATTTTAAGTAAGTAAATAAATAACCTGAAATGGAAATGGAAAATAGAAATCTATTTCATGATCTTATCTACATGGTCCTTTTGTTCTTTACAAATCAGAGTTTGTATTGTGTCTGTTTATTGTTTTACTTAATCTAGAAATGTCAATTCATGAGAATGCTTTTTCTTGATTGCATGCACTTGTACCTTTTCTTTTCTCTACGGAATTTCTTTATATTGGTGTGAATGCCCAATTTCTTTATATTAGCATTACCCAATTTACCTCCCCGGACTTGGAATACAGGAAATGGATACTTGGAATTTGCTGATACTTGGATATGTTAGAACCCGGGCACCCTTGACGGAGTGTTTCGTAGACCCTTAGCGGGGTTAGTCTGCGCACGTAGGACTTGTCACAGGCGTACTAATATTGAGGATTTTGTTGTATGTGCTGGTGAGCTTAGTCCCCAGTTGGACGGCTCATTCCCTAGCCACATGGTCAATTGAGGATTCTTCTATGTGGTCTAATCAAACAATCCCCCGGTTTGATTGTTTCTCTTGTACAAGTTTGGTAGTGGTCATACTTATATATAGATATATACTATATCATATATGTATATATATGCCTATACATTCATTCTTGTTTATCGGTGAGGATACTTCCTCGCTCGCCGTGCCAATGGGCACGCATTACGAGAAAGTAGTTTGCGAAAAATGGGAAAGGTTTTGAATGGGATGGTGTGAGTAATCTATAGAGAATACTGATTTCACTTTGGTTTTTGGCTTAATTATATATATATATATATGTCGGTTTTGAATGCATGTTGTTTTTAGCATCGTTTTTCAAACGGTGGGGTTACTATATGTTGTTTTTAACATAACAAAACTTTGTTTTTGTCCACTCACAATTTTCTGTTCTGCGCCCCCTAGGTAGTAGATAGACTCATACCGAGCGGCTGAACTGAGATCCTCACTTCCAAGCCTGATCTCTTGTAGGATGACTTTTCTTTGTTTAATTTCCGTTGAACTTTATGTTTCACTTGTAAATAGAATTTCAGTAGATATGCTCTATTATCGCCCATGCTAAGGTTGGATGTAAGGCCAGAGGCCTATTATGTAAATTACATTTTATTATCTTGTGCACGCTGCTGGTTGGTGTATATAATTGTGTTTTTAACATGTTGAAAATTTTGGGAATGTCCATTTTTCTGGGGAAACTCTGCCAAAATTTTGGCAGTAATAAGTCTTGTCCCTCTTTTCCTTGTTTTGGAAAAAGAGGTTTGATGTTAGTAAGTGGGATCGGCATCAGTTTAATGTCAGAAATACCACAAGATTCGTCCCGAGTTCTGAGGAAGTCGGGGCGGGTCCTGTAAACTTGGTATCAAAGCATTAGGTTCATTTTCCTTCGAATTTCATGCTTCCTTTGCATTCTTGAAACTAATGGCTCCTCTGTTTTCTTTCATATAGAACTATGCCTCCTCGACGTGGCAGAACGAGAACCCGTTTTCCCTAGCTTGGGGAGCCCATTCCACCTCCACCACCTCCACCTGTCGGTGTGGGAGCTGGAGAGAATGAGCTAGACTTGCATCATGTACTCGACCAGTTCACTCGAATTGTCACCACAGCTTTACAAGGGAGGCGTAATACTGAAGCCTTAGATATCAAAAGGGTTAAGGAGTTAGGAGCTCATGAATTCTTTGGCAGTTACCCTATTGAAGTCGAGAATTGGCTCACAGATATCGAGAGAGTGTTTGAAGTCCTGTAGTGCATTGATGAAGACCGAGTGCGGTTGGCAGCTTTCCTCTTGAAGGGGAACACCTATAATTGGTGGAAGACTGTCCGTAGAGGGCTTGCAGATCCTAGTGTCGTCACTTGGGTGGAGTTTCAACATGTCTTCTACGAGCAGTTCTATCCGTAATCGTACCAAAATGCGAAGAAATCTGAATTCCTTCATCTGAAACAGGGGTTGATGTCCGTGCTAGAATACGAGCGCAAGTTCTATGAATTATCCCGGGTTGCCCCTGAACTAATTCCCACTGAAGAAGAGAAGTGCAGACGGTTTGAGGAGGGTTTATGGCTGGATATTCAGGAAGTGGTCACCGCCACCACTTATCCCACTATGAGGGCACTGGCTTAAATAGCAGATCGTATGGCGAAGAAGCTTACTGCGGGTTCAGCAAGGTGTCACAAGGATGCATCTGGCTTTGGTGGACCGAGTCAAGGTCCATCAAAGAGGGGTGGATCTAGCTCCACTTCAGTAGGCAGTGGATGGTCTAGAGGACGTGGGTCCAGTTTTGGTAGTCGAAGATCTGGGCGTAAGCCAGCTTGGAGTCAGCATTCTAGGCAGCAATTAATGGCCAGTACGACTAAGGATCCTTGTTCGCAAACTAGGTCAACCTGTCACAACTATGGACAGGTGAGACATTTTAGGAGAGATTGCCCACAACTTCGAAAATCAGTGGTCCTAGTCAGAGGGGCAGTTAGGGTTGTTTTTATTGCGGTCAAGTTGGGCACTTTAAAAGTGAGTGCCCTTTTCTCTCTCTTAATGGTATGACAAAGTAGGAGACTAGGGCCCAGCAGGGACAAGGCAGTCGAGGTCAGAGTCAGAGCCAGAGTGGTGCTTCACCATCAGCTGCAGGCTCTTCATCCAGTAGTGGACTGCTATCTACTTTCATAGGCAGGGGTGATAGACACCTGTTTCCCTCTTTTCGACAGGGGTGGCCGACGGAAGGAACTTTTGGTCCTTCTTCTTTTGGATGCGGGGCGTGTCACTATCAAGCCCCGAATTTGGGCTTGAATGGAATATGAATAGATGGATGTGTTGCGCTTCCAACTTCTGACCAAACGATTGATCAGCCAAGCAAGGAACCTCCTCTTAGCCTAGATTCTTTCACTTCCTCAGGCTCGAGGATGGTTAGGTTTCGTACGGATAAATTGAAAACGATAAATAAAGCAAGAACGAAATATAAGCGATAAGAACAATAAAATAAACAAACTTGAAATTAAACTTAATTGAAGTGCGATAACAATGAAATGGAAAGGAATTGAAATAAACTTTAATTTAAATGATAAGAAATATAAATCGAACAAGAATTTAAATGACAAGAAAAATATAAATTTACACTAGAAAAAGGAAGAACTCACTACACTAGGTGCTTGAAAAATAAAATCCTAAGTGTAGGAAAAGAAAAAGTGCGAGACGAAAGATAAGTTTGTTTGTCTGATGTTGTGTCTTCGGGCTTTGCATGGTGAGGTTTGTATAGGGCGTTCGTCAGCCCATGGACTGGCCATTGAATGGCCAAATGTCAACTCTTCTTCAAAATCTTTCCTTTTGAAGCCTCCCTAAATCCGTGGGATTGCATTGATTGAAATATTCTGATATGCTTGATTCTTCCTTGCTTTGGAACGTTCAGATTCATTATCGTCCTCCTTGATTTCCTTCCTTGTGAGGCCTTCATTACGTGCATATAATCCTCCGAAAATTTGGGCTCAGATTGGCGTCTTGAACTTGGGCCTCCAATCTCTCTTATATTGCCACCTATATAATATATATTAAATAAACATAAAATAATGTAAAGAGGGTACCACATATTTGCAAGAACTCAGCCGCATTCATATAATATATTTGTTGAGGCCCAAACATCTAGGGTTGGGCCCAAATAAATTCTTGGCCCAATGCGACACCTTATTAAGAAAAGACCCGGTTCGGAGCACGCGAAATTCGTCATGCACGCTTTCACGAGCCACGACCACGTGACATGCCAAATAAATATGCAATTTATCACGCTAAGAATTAAAATGAGACTATAAAAGGCATTGGCTCTACAAGCCCATTCTAATTATTCTGTCAAGCACTATGTCTCTCTTCAAAGCGACAAAATTCAAGCACGCCAAGCGACATGCAATGCCAAGTGAAAAATCATTATTATCACACCTAGCCACGCTACAAGCTTAAGTGGGTCCAAGCCAAGAAAATGCCCGGGGCTTGCTTGAGTGGGTTGTGGTATAGATGGTAACGAGCTTTCATGAGGCCTATTGATGAGCCGAGAAATGGAAGTTTTGGGCTGCTTGGGAACCCCAAAACTCAAGCTCATTTCTTGAGCCCAAATATGTGGGTAAGCATAAAAGAGAGGGAAAAGCCCAAATACCCTAGAAAATTAGCCCATCACTTAAGGAAATTAGCCCATGTTCTTAATGGGCTAACTCATCACTTTAGCAAGGCCCAAATAGCTTAGAAAATATCCAAAAATCTCCAACATATGGTTTGAAATGAAACCACGATAGAAAACCATGAGATGTTTTTACGCTCACATAGCCAAAGACAAACCCAATGCAAGCCATCAGAAAAACCAAAGGATATTGGCGCGCGCAGGAGAAAAGGCAGCCTTCAGACCAGCCAAAGTTACCTATCTCCTTCATTTACTAGATCTTGCCATGAAATAGGAGTGGAAAGGAGGAGAGATGATAGCCAAAAATAAGAAATCACCACTGGAATGGCTGCGAGAAGACTTCTAAATTTCCAAAAATATGGTCTCTATGTATTGGGCAGAGGAGAATTTCACAAAATGGGATGGATTGAAGGGAGAGAACAGAAATGGAAGTGGAGACTTGGCCAAATTGGAGAGAACCCATTAGGGTTTCTTGGAAAGGATGAGCTTTCAACGGTTATAAAAGATGGTACCTCCTACCCATTAAACCCAACCAGAGCAATCGAGCAAGCTTATTCTCTAACTGTTAACATCAAGCCCAAGTGCCTCATCTTCTATCTCCTTCTTCTTTATCCTAAGCAACACACATCTGGGGAGCAAGCTTTATCTCTCCTCCCTGAAGCCTCTGCAATTTTGAGCTATATTCATCCATCTCCTCCCTTTTTCTCTTCTGTTAAAACACTCTAGAGCTTGACAGATTTTTCGTCAAGCTGCCGGAAACTACTCAACACACCCATCATACCCCCATCTCTCTCCCTCTTCAACCAACCCTCTTAGAATCCATTCCCCCTTGTCTTAAAACCCCTGTTTCTCATAGAAATTCACAGCCCTCTCCCTATAAGCAACTGTTATTTTTGCTGGTGAGGATAACCAGGGTGCTTCCTAAGGCTTCACTACCCTTTCGAAGCATTCTTGGGGTCTGATTCTTGAACTCAAACACAGGGTGTAATTTCACCCATTTGCTCCTTACGGCAGCCCAAACCCATTAGTGAGGCTACTAGAACAAAAAGACCCTTACAATATTATATTATATATATATATAACCATTAGATTTTTTACCATTATATAATATATTATATATTATATATAAGAGGCCAGGCCAGTACCTGGTATCAGAGCCTAAAGTCCCTAGAAGAGTTGTTAGTTTGAAGGTTTTTTGTCAAGTTTTCTTTACTCACTAGTCATCGAGTTGTCTAGCTGTCGAATAGGCTCGTTGGCCGTTGCCAGAGAGGCGTAAGGCGTTGAAGAGACCTAGGCAGGGACTAGCAACCTTGAATTAGGAGGAGAACATAAGGAAAGCATAAAACCTAGACTTTTAAAAGGGCAAGCCTTAGAAGAATCTTGTCTACCCGTTCTTCTGGAGATGCAGGCACTAGTAGCAGTCCTGGCCATAGAACCCTAAGGGTGAAAAACTCTCAAGAAATAACCATGCGGGACGTAGAAAAAGAGTTGTCCAACTGGGATATACCCAGAGTACCTATCGATGATATCTACTATAAAGGGTCTTTCAAATTTAGATATGATTATGCAATAAAAACTGTTGAGAAAACCATATCTGTCATTGATAAAAATGACAATTTTCAGCTATTTACTTAGCGTCAAATTGACCAGCATCTAGATAGAAAATATAACTATTTGCACATAGGCTTGGTGCAGGTAGGGGTGAAACCACTTACCAGAACAGGATTGCCCAGTTCAATCTTTCTATGTGTAAAAGATGGAAGACATAGAAAGTTCACAGATTTCTTGTTAGGAATAGTCGAGTCAACCTTAGGGGAAGGCCCAATATATTTTAATTGTTTTCCCAACTTTTCTGTTGCACTTTCTGATATAAATGTCTTAAAAACTTTAACGTTGAATATTCAAACTCAGGGTTATGATATGGACCCAGGATCCTAAAATCTAGCAATTATTTACAGGGTTTCATATAAGGTTATGAACACTGTCTGTCCCAAAGCTAAAGAATTAGACAGTAAATGTGAAACTACCTTGTTCCAAACCAATCTTGAAAAGTCAAACGTGGCAGTCCCAAAAATGATAAAGTGGAGTGATATAACTCTGCCAGAAAAATGGATATTGGATGAAGTAGCTCCAAAAAGGCCCCTTGAAAATCAGGAGCCTACATGGGTCTCGCAATTTGCTGATGGAGAGGTAGAAATACAATTTTCTAGTGCTAGAAGAACTAGAATTGATTTGGCACCCTCTAGATCTAACATTGAACCACACAGATCGAGTACCTCCTCTGATAGAGCTTATGACCTAGAACATGAAAGAATGGTTCTAGCAAGATTTAGGAGAACTCAAGAACAAATACAGAGGCAAGCCTATAGGTTCGGACAAACCATTCCAGACTTAGGTTTCAGAAGAAATCCTCCTCAACCTGAATTGACATTTTTAGATGTAGAATTTGAAATAAATATGATAAATTTTTTTGCCCCCGAACACGAAAAGGTTCCAAGAGATTATCTGAGTATTGAAAATGTTGATAAAAGAATTTGGTTTGAAACAACCTTTAGGAAGGAAAGGCAAGACCATCTTTGGAAAGCTCACACCGCTTTCATAAAAGAAAAGAAATTCAACTGTTTTTTCTTTGCGTGGTTAGATTGATGTGCTAAAAAGTATGACATCCTTGAATATAGGAAAAATATAGAAATGATAGGAAGCCCCTTATCGACTTATACTTCCAAAGATGGGAAGTCAGTCAAAGCCATACATCCACCTAAACTGGTGATTAAACAAAAGGATGTAATTGCAGCTCCCTACAAAGAAACCACTTTCCTTGAAGATAGTGCCAATAATTTTCACACAGCTAGTAAGGAAGATGTATGTGCTGTCATTCAGCAAAATAACTACACCAACCTGTTTCCGCAATCTTTAGGAAAGCAAGTTTACTAGGATTGAAATATCTGTTTCAATGGGGGAACAGAAATCCGAACCAGGACCCTCAGAAACCAAAAGAAATAAAGAAGTAAGTCAAGCGTTCTTTAAACCACCTCCTGCCTTAGATAATAAAAATTTTAAGATGGGAAGGACCTTATCTGAAGACGAAAACTTTGTTGACGTCTTGGCCAAAAAGTTATCAGGGTTAAATTTGTCAGATAAAGGAAAGGGTCCTCAAGTGTCAGTTCTCACTAAAGGAGAAATAGATAACCTGGAAACAATGTTTAAGGAAGAACAACCTGAAATTAATAGGTTAATGACTGCAAACTGCTAAGACTAAAAACTACTACCCTAGACCCACACCAGTTGATTTATGGTTTCAGGAAGACGGAATGTGGAATTCCGCTCAATATGACGGAAGCTCTATAGTTGAATGGAATATTGATGGTTTAACAGAATATCAGATCATTAATGCAATGAAACATATGATGATGTACGCTACAGCCTCTAAGATAAAAGGAAACGGAGATAGAAGGGTAGCTGAAGCTATCATTGCAGGTTTTGTCGGTCAGTTGAAAGGATGGTGGGATTTCCACCTGAGCGATTCAGCTAGAACCTAGATCTTAAATGCTCAAGTGGCCATTGGCCAGCATAGTGTACAAGATCCAGCAACTGGAGTCATTAATAGTGAAAACGTTTACCAGGAAGATGCGATAAATTCACTGATTTACACTATCACTCTACATTTTGTAGGAAATACAGAATTGCAGCATGATAGGTCTAGAGAATTCCTAATGAATCTTAAATGTCCGACCCTGTCCCATTTTAGATGGTATAAGGATGTATTTTATTCTAAGGTGTTTACAAGACAATACTG